GATAGACGTCTCCATATATGTGAGCCGTGCGGGCGGTGCGAGCTTGGACTCAAAGTCGGTTCTCACTCTCTCTCTCCATGTAAACGGCCGGTCGCCACGCGTGGGTTATGTTTTGTGTGAGCGGCGCCTTCCCCCGCCCAGCGCAAACGATGAGCCAGTAATTGAAGCTTACCAGTGCGGCGATGGCGCACTTTGCGAGCGCGGCAATCTCTCGTCGGCAGGGACGCAGGGGGCGATATGGCATCGGCGCCAACAATGCACCAAGCAGCACGAACTCGTCCGTCCATCTCATCTCGTCGTCGGCAAACACCGACGCGCTCAGACGGCGGTGTTGCCGACGAGATGAAGACCGCTGAGAGCGAGGCCATCCCTGTCGGCGAGGTAGTGGCGACCGAGCCCGTTCCGGCGGTAGTACCCGCTCAGCGGGTCTCCGCTACACTGTCCCCGGCTGGCACTCCGATATCGATGACGGGGACGCCACCCGGCGCACCTGACGGAGGTGCGTGCAATGAGCCGTCTCCCGCTCCGAGTCTGCGCCCCGCCCAGCCTATTAGTATTACTCTGTAGGCGTGTGGTCTACGGAGCAGTACTCTGGGATGGTTACGCTGATCATCTTCGCGGTGGTCTTCTTTCTCTTCACGCTGGAGTCTAGATGCACTATGCTGAACTCGTATCCCTGTACTCGCTCATGGCCCCGTCGAGGCTGGGCAGGGCGTGCACCATCATGTGTAAGTGCGTCTTCACCTCGCGTCCCTTGCTTGACCACACGCAGGCCGGCGTCTTGCGGAGCGTTCTGCTGCCCGTGCGACACCCGTGAGCGCGATCAAAAGAGAAGATGGGATCGAGAGGCAAAAGCAGCCAGGCCGCGACTTGACAGCGATGCATTCACGAGTAAGAGCTCGAAGCACAGAGCAACATACACAACGTTTTGGGACTCGGAGAGGGCTGTCTGTCACACTTCCGCAACTTCCCAAGCGTATCATGCAGTGTGCCACTCCCCACGGGTCGCGCCCCCGACGCGCACTCTCACCCACCCATCCCGCCCGCGTCCAGGTGCCGTGTACAGGGCCCCCGACGGGCGTAAGTTCACCGCCTCTGGCGCCCTGGTCCCGCCAAACGAGTGCTGTGGGTTTCCGTGCGGTGGGCCCGCCGCGTGAACGAGCGTGGCGGCGCTGGCGCTGGCGGCCGGGGGCAGCCGCGCCGGCCCGGGGGGGCGCGGCCCGCGCGCTTTTCCGCTGCGAAGCTTTGCCCCGGTCGCCATGTCACTACTGTTTTCTGTGTGGCTCTTACGGACATACCCGCCCAGAAGTGTCAAACGAACTCCACCTTTTCGATCAGCGGGCTGTCTCGCAGCGCGAGCTCGACCCCAAACTTGATCTTGTCGGGGCCGCTGTACTTGAGCTGCACGGTCGAGCCCGCCGCGCTCACAACCTCAACGCTGCCGCCCAGCCCCAGGATCGCGGGCATGATTTGCTCGAGCGCCGCGTTCGCGACAGACACGTCGAGCGCGCCGTCCGCCTCGTCGTCGTCGTCGTCGTCGTCGTCGTCATCAGGTTGGACGGCGACTACGTCGCCTGCGGGCGGTGCGGGTTTCAGCGGTGAGAGCGGCAATCGCAGCGAGGAGAGGGCGGCAGGGAGGGGCCGCGGGTGTGTGGGCGCCGAGCGAGCCAAACTTCTCGCGCAGCACGCGCTCGATGCCCATCTTCATCGTGACCGTGGACGAGGGGCAGGAGCCGCAGGCGCCTTCGAGCCGCAGGTACACGTTGCGCATCGCGGCGTCGACCGAGACGACCGCCACGTTGCCGCCATCCGCAACGAGGTAGGGCCGCACCTGTTCATGGTTGCGCGCGCGAGTGTGAGCAGACTGTCCACAGCCCAGCAGCGGCGGCGAGGGCCGAGCCTCGTTCAGGACAGAGTCGACGGCGGCGGCGGTGAGCTCGAGGCCCGACGCCGCGGCGGAGGAGGCGGCGGCGCCGCTCGCCGCCGCCTCGAACGGGCTCGCGCGCTCCCCAGGTGATGAGGACTCGACTGCAGACTGCTCCGGCTCTCCCGTCGCACTACCCATCGCGGCGCTGGCGCGCGGGCGGGCGCTGGATATGGGCGCGAAGACGGCCGATCGGAGGGCGTCGGCCCACTCCTGCGCGCGGCCGTCGTTTCCCTCGGGCGTGCGGCCTAGGCTCCGGATCCATGCCCGCTTCACCTCCTCCATCTCGCGACGAGCAGGCGACGAGAAGTCCTGAAGTCGGACGGCGCTCACGCGATCCGGCATCGCTTCGCGATGCGC